TCCATCAGGGGCAAATCTAGGTCTTGAAAAGCAGGGTAGGCACACAGAGGTGTGTAAGAATGGGTCTATGTCTTGGAGCCCACCCTAGGGTCACCTTGAGACCTTTACCATCTTGGTCCTAGCCCTTGAAGGTCCAGCGCAAGTTCAGGGGCCAAATGAGGCATTGCAGTATGAAGGTCTTATTTGTTTTTTTCATTTTTTCAATCTTTGGGAATTGAAATAGTCTCATTAATTTTCTATTTAGCCACTTGATCAAACTATTTTATAAAGGAAGTGCTTTTTTAAGGAATGAATAATGAAAATCTTTTACGGTTGTGTTTTTGTGTCTCAGAGGACTCACATTAGGCACTAGGTTGCTGAGTGGAAACCTTAACCTGATTATTTACAAATATAATTGCTGAGGTAGAGCTAATGGAAAAGATAAAATGAGAAGATACCATGAGAAAGAATGACCAGCTTTAACATGACCGCAGTAAAATCTTATTTAAGCATGATTAAAAAACCATGGAATTAATATCTTTCAAAATTGTTTGAAAGGAAACTAATTTTACTTTGCTCTTGTCCTGTTTTGTTCTGTTCTTATTTTTTCCTCCTTACTAGAACAGGCATTCTCGTCGCACATGCTGGAACCAATAGAAGAACTTTCAGAGGAAGAAAAAGGTAAAAAGGGTTTGATCAGGGTTGATGTGCATAGATTATATTAGTATGCTAAAACCCAAGCCTTGAAAATACAAGCTAGTGGTTTTTATCATACTGTATCCAAATTAGCTAAGATGTTTAGGTTTGGGCTGTATGTTCAATCTATAGATAGCATTCAGCTGTCTTATTCATCTAATATTCTGTTACATTGTACCCTGCTTTACTTTTTTCTTATGCAAACAGACGAATGAGGGTAGTGCCTGCGTCAGGGAGCTTAAAAAGAAATGTAAACTCTTCCTCTCCAGGCAGACTGTTTCTGATCAGACAACAAATCTGTACACAGGTGTGGCATACCAGTCAGGTGATAAGAAAATACGTATCTTACAGTGGGGATTTTTTTCATATTCTGAGATGGATAGATACAATGCTCATTAAAAAAATATTTTTTTTTAATAGCAAAGAATGTGAAGTATCTTAATGCCTATTGTGTAAAATAACATGGTAGAACTTTTGAGCCGCTGTAGGTATTGGGAGATAATTGCAACTGTTGTTCCTTGTTTTATTTGCAAATTCTGAGCTTCTAGCAATTGTTGAAGTTTATGAAAATGTTTTTTTAAAAAACCTGATGAGGAGTGCTTTATAACGCCACAGTTGTGGTTCCGGAAAACAAGTGCATTTGAGTCCGTTTATTATCATCTTTACTCTATTGAGACTAATGCTTTACTGTATAGCACTTCTTTGTTGTTGTTGTTGTTGTTAGGTGCCGTTGAGTCGGTTCCGACTCATAGCGACCTTATGCACAACACAAGGTGACACCGCCTCGTCCTGCGCCATCCTCCCAGTTGCTGCTACACTTGAGCCCAGGGTTGCTGCTGCTGCGCCAATCCTTCTCGTTGGGGGCAGCCTTCCTCTTTTTCTCTGTCCCTCCACTTTACCAAGCACGACGTCCTTCTCCAGGGACTGGTCCCTCCTGACAATATGTCTGAAGCATGAGAGGCGAAGCACTTCTTGGGAGAAAGCAAATTTGAAAATTTTATGTGGTTTGGTCATTTTTGTCAGGAAGTAAAATGATCCATTCAAGTATATAAACTCTTAATGTTTATTATATATCCTTTTTGTGTTCTGTAGACTTGTAAAAAAATCATTTTTAAAAGACTACACATTGAAAGTTGACTGAGAGAGGCCTAAATGCATAGTATCTCCATGTATATTTGCAAGTTTTGGTTTTGCTATGTTAATCATCAGTACCTTTTTGATAGCTTTAAATAGGGCTCTTAAAAGTTTTGCTTCCACGTACCTTTGCAGTCTTTCTTGATTTTCTGTATTTCACTCAAGCTACTTACCTAGTTTAGGACTTCCTATCTTCCCAACCAAGTAGTTGTTCATAGTTAACACGGGTTCGGGATTCTGTTTCAGTTCCTCCATTTCTTGTGCTCTTTTTTTCTATGTAATTGCTGTTCCAATATTAAAAAAAAAACACACCATTTCTTCTCTGAAATCAGTGTCTATAGATACATTAAAAGTATAAAAGAGGGGAGAACAAACAAGATGGCGGATCGGGTGGACATATAGCAGAGAGCTCCGCCAACAACAACACAGAATACCCGACCAAGCAGG